TGGGGAAGGGAAGGGAAAGGAGATTGTAAGCCGCTCTGAGACTCCGAGTGAAGGGCGGGGTATAAATCCAATCTCCTCTTCGTCATCTTCTCTATATGCAGAGGCAGTGCAGGTTCTGTTTACCCAGCCTGGCCAATGCCTCTGCTCCCCACAATCTCATCTAATGTTCTTTTGAAGCCACCTGAGATAGCAGCGGCTGCTGTGTTGTGGTAGTGAATTCCACATGCTTAATTCTGTATTTGCCCTGACCTGGGTGGTCCCGGCTTGCCTGATATTGTCAGAACTAGAGATGTTTTTTTCCTGAAGCCTTTTTTGTTCTTTTTCTTTTGAAGCCACCTGAGATAGCAGCGGCTGCTGTGTTGTGGTAGTGAATTCCACATGCTTAATTCTGTATTTGCCCTGACCTGGGTGGTCCCGGCTTGCCTGATATTGTCAGAACTTTTAACATGATGAATAAAATAGTTCGAGACAAGGTGTTCACGCCAAGCCTTCTCGCCTATTTCCTCGCAGGGGATCACTCTTAATCATCAAATTACGCAAATATTTTCCAAATCATTTCTAAAAAATATGTATGGTATCAGATTGATCTAATTTCTGTGCCCTGAGGACAAGCAAGTCCTAGGTTACAAACTGAACTCTCCAATGCAAAATGACAGACATAACAAAGTAGCTGCAGAAGCAGAGACTGAAACTGATACTGATAATTATAGCTCAGAACATGCCAAGTAAAAATGTCCATAGTCATATTTCATGTTCCTAAAGTAACAGAATGACTTTCAATCTGGAAAAGAAAAAAGAAGCGCAAATGTAGCATTTTTTCCCAATATTCCCGAAAATTTCCGTTTTCCCCCGGGAAAAAACCGGGAAAACCCAGGTTTTTTTCCGTGCTTCAAAATTTCCGGAAATTTTGCATCTCTAGTCAGAACTCAAAAGCTAAGCAGGGTTGGCCCCGGTTACCAGTTGTATGGGAGACCCCCAAGGAAGTCCAGGGTCACTATGTAGAGGCAGGCGATGGCAAACCCACCTCCGGTCATCTCTTGCCTTGCAACCGCTTATGGGATTGCCGTAAGCCAGCTGTGATCTGACAGCACTTTCCCCCACAAATTCTGCATCTGACGAAGGACTTTGGTCCCGAATCAGAACCTTATCGACTTCATTGAGCGCATGCGTGCACACACACACACATACACGTACTGTGAGCATTCTGGGAGAGGGAGGAAAAATTCCAGTTTTCTTCACCTCCGCCATAACCTTTATTTCATAACCTTGATATAGCCGCGGTGGCTCAGAGGTTAAGACGCTGAGTTGCAGATCGAGAGAT